AACATACCATCCAACTACGAACTTGCATTAGGCATTAACTAGTAATTTTACATCTTTTGACTTATGGAGGAGAGAGAAAAGGAGGAACAGAAACAATTCCTACTCTTATTTTATTCATCACATAGATAAATTTTCCTGTTCGAGTGAGGGAAGTGGATCTACTGTGAATTTTCGCAAAATCATTCAGTTGGTAGCAGAATAAATTTCATTTCTATGTTTTACAAATGAACCAGAAGTTATTTTTTTCCCCTGGTCTGCCAGCTTCACTGACATCCTCCCATCAAAGTTTGGTTGCCATTTATATCCTTATTTCAGGAAGAAAGTTAGGCATGCTTGGAAGAAAGTTAGACATGCTTAATGACTGAGTGGAATGTAATGACCATGACACTTGGAAGATACTAAATTTCAATTGCATGAATGCTTATTACAAGTTTGGAAATCTAAATCTGTGGACAAGCATACTGTGTAACTATTATTATATGCTTTGGAACATTGATGAACAAGTATAACTATCTGTGTAATTGACTATATTGAGAGGATTGCTTGTCCGGAAAGTGCCACTGTCTTCTGACATTCTCCTGTAACTTTTTGACTTAATTCTTCTTCTTTAAATTGCTTGTACAGGATGGATGAAGGCAGGCAGCCACTTTCAAGAAAGTTGCCAATTCCTTCAAGCAAGATAAATCCATACAGGATGATTATTCTAATCCGCATGGCGATTCTTGGCTTATTTTTCCATTATAGAATTCTTCATCCTGTCAATGATGCATATGGATTGTGGCTGACATCAATTATATGTGAGATATGGTTTGCAGTGTCATGGATATTTGATCAATTCCCTAAGTGGTTCCCTATTGAGCGAGAGACATACCTAGACAGACTTTCACTAAGGTACTTATTTTTTTTTCTAAAGTTTCCTTTCATGAGCATTTGTTTGCTTATGCAGTATACATTTTCACATATATTTAATGGCTTCAATTTTTACTTTTATTTTTTTGTCAATATACTAAAGACGGGTAGGTTAGCATCTCCTTTCATTTTTGGTTCTCAAAGTTTCTCTGGTTCTCAAAGTTTCTCTGCATTGACCTTTTCTCCTAGGTATGAGAAAGAAGGGAAGCCTTCTGAGTTAGCTCCAGTCGATATATTTGTGAGTACAGTGGATCCAATGAAAGAACCTCCCCTTATCACAGCAAATACAGTTCTTTCCATCCTTGCTGTGGATTACCCAGTGGATAAGGTTGCCTGTTATGTATCTGATGATGGTGCTGCAATGCTTACTTTTGAGGCACTTTCGGAGACATCTGAATTTGCCAGAAAATGGGTACCATTCTGTAAGAGGTTCAGCTTAGAGCCTCGAGCCCCAGAATGGTACTTTGCTCAGAAGGTTGACTATCTCAGAGACAAAGTAGATCCTACATTTGTGAGGGAACGCCGTGCAATGAAGGTGAAAACAACCCCCCCCCCCCCCAACGGCCCCTCTTCCCCCCAAAAAAAAAAAAATAGTGTGCTAGACATTAATTAGATGGACTGGTGAAGTTTTAGTTTTCATTAAAGGCTAGCTCAATGATTACTCAATTTTAAATTGGAGTGTGTCTGCTTTTCTGGTACAGAGAGAATACGAGGAGTTTAAGGTTCGGATAAATGGGTTGGTTGCCATGGCTCAAAAGGTACCCGAGGAGGGTTGGACCATGCAGGATGGAACTCCTTGGCCTGGAAATAGTGTCAGGGATCATCCTGGAATGATCCAGGTACATATTTTTCCTGTCTCATCATCTCCACTTCTGACAGTAGTACTGATCATTCTTGCAAAGTGAATAACTTAAACCTATTATATCCACAGGTATTCCTGGGACATAATGGTGTCCGTGATATTGAAGGAAATGAATTGCCCCGTCTTATATATGTTTCTCGAGAGAAAAGGCCGGGATTTGAGAACCATAAGAAGGCTGGAGCCATGAATGCTTTGGTAAGTCTGAATTATTTGGCATGTTACACGTGTCACCATTGATATTACCATTTAAACATAATATATTGTCTTTAATTTGTTTATTGTCAATGTAGATTCGAGTTTCAGCAGTCATCTCAAATGCCCCATACCTGCTTAATGTTGATTGTGATCACTACATCAATAACAGTAAGGCTCTTCGAGAAGCTATGTGCTTCATGATGGACCCCACATCAGGAAAGAAAATATGCTATGTGCAGTTTCCTCAGAGATTTGATGGGATTGATCGTCATGATAGATATTCAAATCGCAATGTTGTCTTTTTCGATGTATGTAATCACCACTATATGATTTTCATGTTATACCATTTATGGATCCACTTGAATGTTATATATACGTGTTTTTTGTAAAACTCAGCAAACACTCTTCTGAGAAGCTAAGATCTTTCTCTTAAACTGACACAGATAAATATGAAAGGCCTGGATGGGATCCAAGGTCCGATTTATGTTGGAACTGGATGTGTCTTCAGGAGGCAAGCTCTTTATGGATATGATGCTCCTAAAAAGAAGAAACCCCCAGGCAAAACATGCAATTGTCTCCCAAAGTTGTGTTGCTGTTGTTGTTGCTCAAGGAACAAGAACAAGAAAGGGAAATCGAAGGATAAAAAGAAGACAAAAGGCAGGGAAACTTCAACTCAGATACATGCACTTGAAAATATTGAAGAAGGAATTGAAGGTAAGAATCTGGAACCAGATGACTATCCGAATCAATACTATATTTAGCATTTTGAAAATCAAATTACTATTGGATAATATCAGCTGTGCCTTTTTTACTTTGTTTATTCTGCACTCCAACCTCAACTTGCCTGATGTATCTTTGGTGCAGGAATTGACAGTGAAAAGTCCTCCCTCATGCCCCAGATAAAATTTGAGAAAAAATTTGGACAATCGCCTGTATTTATTGCTTCTACACTTCTTGAAGATGGTGGTGTGCCTCCAGGTGCAACACCCTCATCACTTTTGAAAGAGGCCATCCATGTGATCAGTTGTGGTTATGAAGACAAAACAGAATGGGGGAAAGAGGTACTTGGACTGCTTAAAAGATCAAAATCTCTTAAAAAATCTAGTTCTTTCTCTTAAGCAAAGCATCTAAGTTATCTTACTTTGCTTATGTAACAGGTTGGTTGGATATATGGATCTGTTACTGAGGATATATTGACCGGTTTTAAAATGCATTGCCATGGCTGGCGATCAGTATATTGCATTCCTAAAAGGCCTGCATTTAAGGGTTCTGCCCCTATTAATCTGTCAGATCGTCTACACCAGGTTCTCCGTTGGGCCTTGGGTTCTGTTGAGATTTTCTTGAGCAGACATTGTCCAGTTTGGTACGGCTATGGATGTGGCTTGAAGCCACTGGAGCGATTTTCATACATAAACTCAGTCGTCTATCCATTGACATCGCTGCCGTTGATTGCTTATTGTACCTTGCCAGCTGTGTGTCTCTTAACTGGGAAGTTCATTGTCCCCGAGGTAAGGCCTAGATGCTTGTCTGGGAAGCGAGGGGAAAAAAAAAAATTGGACATGTATTTATTCAGTCTAAGTTTGCTAGTTATCTTCCAACAATATTTCATTTACTCCTTGCAGATAAGCAACTATGCCAGTATCATTTTCATGGGCCTCTTCATATTAATTGCCGTTACCGGTATCCTGGAAATGCAATGGGGTGGTGTTGGCATAGATGATTGGTGGAGAAACGAGCAGTTCTGGGTTATTGGTGGTGTGTCAGCGCATCTTTTTGCTCTCCTCCAAGGTTTACTCAAGGTTTTAGCTGGTGTCAATACCAACTTTACCGTTACATCAAAAGCAGCTGATGATGGGGCGTTTTCTGAGCTTTATCTGTTTAAGTGGACTTCATTATTGATCCCTCCAATGACCTTGTTAATAATTAACATCATCGGCGTCATTGTTGGGGTGGCAGATGCCATCAATACTGGATATGATTCTTGGGGTCCACTGTTTGGCAAGCTGTTCTTTGCCTTTTGGGTGATTGTCCATTTATACCCATTCCTGAAGGGTTTGATGGGGAGGCAGGATAGACTTCCCACTATTATTGTGGTGTGGTCAATCCTGTTGGCTTCAATATTCTCCCTGCTATGGGTCCGCATCAACCCTTTTGTGAACAAGAATGGCATTGTATTAGAAATTTGTGGGTTGGACTGTGAGTGAGAAGATACAGGAAGGATAGAAAACATTTAGATGGTTGAGATGGTACAGAAGAAAGGGCTGAGTCTTGGGGTGAAAATGAAATCCCAGAGGGCACAGTTTGTTGTTTATTCAAGAAAGTGGTATAAATTGATTGGAAGGAACTCTGTCATGGGTTGTGTAGATAAAAAGAGCCGAGGCCACTCAGGTTGATATTTGTTTGCAAAGTTTTTCTTTGATTCTTTTGATAAATTTTTGAGATTTTGTTGTTTGGAAGAAACATAAGTGGAAAAATATCTGTGCAGTCCCAAAAAGAACATAATGTTTCATAATTTTATATTCCCTTCTTAATAAGGGACTCCATACAAGCAGTGTTCTCAAAACTCTAGTTTCAATATAATCCCTCTCTCCTCATTTCTCAGTTGCTGTGTTACGTGGATGTTCAATTCTTTTAGCCTTTGTTTGGTTCTTTCATTATCTGATTGCAACATTGTCAATGAATAGCTAGAAAGATCCTCTCCTGCTACACTCTTCAGCATGGTGCAATTTATTAATCTTCTGTTGCTTTCAAACTTCATAGCTTTTGAATCTTTTATTTCACATCAGTTGCTGGGACTTGGATGATTTGGTTTCATGGATGGTTGGTAGTTTATTATACACTCGTTTTTAATGCCTGGATGATCACAGAAGAAGCTAAAAGCGAATTAAGAAAATTTTCTAAAGTTGGTAAATGCTTTAGAACCAGAGGTGACAACCGATTTGTGCAATGTTCAGACACTAAAAGCAACACTAGCCCGAGTTTTCACCATTAGCTGTGAAACAACAATATTATCTAAGCTTCAAACACCAAGCACAGGGCAAGAAAAATTATCATTCTGATATTATCGGTCAGTGATCACAATTTTTCTCAGTAAACAACTAAAAAAACTTGTTCAGTTCTTTTCCCACCATTGACAACGTCTGATTTACAAAACAAGACCATTTTTAACTCAGGAAAACAAGAAAAAAAAGTACAATATTACATCACTCACGTGCATATCCAGGAACTACTTGCATGAGATATGCATCCATTCACTGGGATCACTTGCTGTATCAGCACAGAAGAACAGAGACCCCTTCTATTTATGCAGAAGATCCTTAAGGGCTGGCCTCTTTGCTGCTGGTCTCACTGTTGTCCAAGTACCAACTTTTTCTAATTTGGAATTTGGTGCATTCTCCTTCATATCCACTGCTGTTTGCAGCTTGTTTGGTGTTCCATGTATTAGAATGGTTCTCCTATTCTTCCCTTTGAAAGTAGACATGAATGGCTTGGAAGGTGATTTGATGCTCTCATCTGCTGCTGAATCTGAGTTTTTATTTGAACTGGAGTGTGTCTCTGAATGCATTGCTATAGTATCTTCAAGAACTACAGATACAAACAAAAAAAGCCATCATTCAAATTAGCTCCTACATCATTTTATGATTTACTATGCTGCTTACCTCCTCCAGCATCTTCAAGATATTGATGGTTTGATTCTTCCCTTGCTTCACCATCTTTTTGTTCTTCAGCAGGCACAATTACATTTTTTATATCAGCAGTACCAGTCTTTTCCACATTTTTTGCCTCTGGCTCAACCAAATTTGCGAGTTCTGCAACAGCTGCTAAGGCATCAATAATCAAGTTTTTCTCGGGGCTATTGATCATTGAAGGAACATTTTCTGTAGACTCTGAATTGATATAGTCTATCATGGTATCATCATCACACTCCTTAGACAACTCATGACTCTTGGAGATGAAAGATTCAGAAGCAAAAGAATCCTGAATAACTAACTCTCCAACTTTATCTTCAGCATCATGGCCTAGCGTGGTAACTTCTTCACCAACAAAAGTAGCTTCAGAAGTTTCTATTTCAACTTTAACATCCTTGCTTTGGTCAAATGAAAAGCTCTGATCCCCTTTGCTCTCTTGTGGATGTATATTCATTTCTAAACTGCTGAAAGTAGGAACTTCAGTGCCAGACTCAGCATGCTTATCATTTTGATTATCTGGAAATTAAATCAAGATTAATCAGTAAAATCTTTTCAATGACGAGTCATTTTAACTCAACAAAGGATGGAACGAGGATAATTTTTCAGATAAAATACCATAAATTTCTTGTCTATATACAGATACACTCGAGCAACTATAAGCTAACTATCTTCTAGTTCCCATTCTTCAAAACAAAAGTTTAAATATTAAGGTTCACATAATTTAAAAAGGATCTGAAAGATTGCTGAAGGGTTTCCATGATCTAAAATTTCTTGTCCATATACAGATACACTCGAGCAACTATAAGCTAACTATCTTCTAGTTCCCATTCTTCAAAACAAAAGTTTAAATATTAAGGTTCACATAATATAAAAAGGATCTGAAAGATTGCTGAAGGGTTTCCATGATCTAAAATCCTTCATAATGATTCTAATATAAGCAGGCAACTTCAGAATACATTTCTCAATAACATTTCCACTCTGTAGTCATTAGGAAAAGAACGAATATTTAGAATGTTACCTTCCAAAAACTTAGCAGAGGTTTCGCTTGTATTACTCTTCCCTACTTCATTTTCCTTCTGAATTTCAGAATCACCAATCTTCTGATCATCATGTTGCGCTGGAGTGCTATTAGAAAGCACCAAATTATCCTTGAATTCAGAAGCAAACTCAGACACGGATTTAGCATAAGCTCCATCATCCCTCTCCTGAAGACATAAAACCTTGTGACTGGTTTCTGAGTTACCAAACAGCATTTTAAGTTCATCTCCTGCGCAAGACATAAAAATACATTAACAAGTGAACAATAAAAGAAATAAACCCCATAAAACTTACTGTATAGCTAACCATGCCAGCTATTGCTGAAATTGCATCCATCGGGGTTCCCTTCAGCAGCAGTAGGGAAGATATTCTGCTGATTTGTTCTCTGAGTTTCATAATCTACAGCTGTTTCAGAATCCACAAGCTCTTCATAACTGGAAATATCTTTTTCTTCACAAATAGGTAAAGAACTTTAGGGTATAAGAAAGTCACTAAGATGAAGCTTGCTAAATGAATGAAAAAAGAGAAATGCTAACCTTGTTCTTCCCTACTATGCACCACGTCATGTTGACCAGAGCATCCATCCCTTCCTGAGCTACTAATCTTTTTCAAAGACAAAAAATCATGTTTCACTTCGTCTTCAGAACTCAGATTATTTTTCTCTTCCTCAGTGGTTGAGAGACTGACAGGCTCATCAGTCAATTCAAGTTTTTGACCTGTCGCATTAAGAATAGCAGATCATTAAACAAATTCTAATGGTCATCAAGTCCTAGCAGAAAGGACTGAAGGACTGACCATGTTCATTTTTGTTGCAGCTTTTTGAAGGAGTCTGGGCACTGTGTAAGGGGCAACTATCAAGTGTAACAATAGTGGCTACTGCAAGAATTAATAGTGTGAATTAAAAACAACCATCAAAAGTACCTCTTGAAACACAGGAATCAGAAGAACAACAGCTATTCTAAAAATGCTAACCTTCTGGGGCAGTATCAAGGGAGTGAACACTTTCAGGTTCATTTGTAGCCTCCAGGTTAAATGGCCCACTCTCTTCTCCAGTGCTGCTTTCTAGCATCTCTCCTCCTGTATCAGCCTCAAAACAAAGTACATAATTTCCATTGGCTCCCATGCTTTCTGTCACTAATCCTAGTTCAACATCTGTCTTTGATCCTAATTCAACATTTAATGCATCAATGACCCCATCCAAACTTCCATCCATGCTTTTATCACATCCTTCTGAATTATAGTCCTTACTAGTCGAAGCCATTTGTATCATGTGATATGCTTCAATGGGATCACTTTCCTCATTTGTTTCCCCTTCGCCACAAGCTATATCTCCTGAATCACATGAACATTGACTTGTATCACTGTTCTTTAATCTAATGTTACAGCTTCTTGAATGAGAATCTTCTTTAGTACAACTTAGCCAATTTTTCTTGTACACTTTCCAGATTGATTTCAGGTTAAGCAATAAACAAATATTACCAGTCAGGTGCAGCAGAGCCAAAAGACAAAACAATGAGATGCATCCTCCATGCATAAGGCACTATTGAAAGCAAGTAAATGAGTTCAATACATACGCTGACATTCTGAGAAGAAACTTGAATTTGAAAGAGTTTTGTTCAATGAATTGCATTTCCTTGCACTGAGCTCAATTCCTTTATTTCTTTCTTCAGTGTTGTTGGTGGCTACAGAAGGTGGAGATAAATGAACTTTCTCCACAGTATCTTCAGTGATGGGGACACCTTGATCCTGGATGAAGCTAAACGTACTTCTTGTGGAGGAATTGAACTGAGCATGCAGCAGACAATCAAAGGAAGTATCTGGATTCCTAGAATGTCCAATCTCTTCAAATTTAGCTACTTCTTCACTATTCTGCCCATCTTCTAATGCTGTGTATGGTTCAGCAACAAAGTGCGAATTGGCTGTCCCATCAATAGCTTCAGCACAAGAGACAGCTTGATCCTTTATGAAGCTAAACTTACTTCTTGCAGAGGAATCAAATTCAGCATGCTGCAGAGAATCACTGGGGGCAACATCTTGATCCTTCAATAGTCCACCCTCTTCAAGTTTAGCTACTTCTGCACTATTCTGCCCATCTGCTAGCGCTGTGTATGCTTCAACTGCAAAATCTCCATCCACACCTTTCCTTTGCTGATTTGGTGATTGAGTCCGTACTTCTGACTGTTTCTCCGAGCCCACTTTTTCAGTAAATGCCCCTGTGTTATTGCAGAAAATTTTAGAGATTGCTAAGTAAAGTGATAACCAGATAGAACTACATTTTTAGTATATTTTCTAAAATGATTTGTCAATTTCCTTGCAACAATAGCTCAGTTACAGATTCAAGAAATAAATATTATCATCTATTTTGAAAAAGATATGAGAAGGTCTGATATTGCTTTGTTATCTGGTAAAGGAGAACTTTTGCTGTCATAACCAAAGTATGAGTCTTATCTTAAGTCTAATCAGAAGCTGTTGCATTATTAAGTTATTCAGCATCAACTAGAGCTAAACATCACAATTGGGTAAGAATTCCTCCTGCGATTACCTAGGAATTCAAAGTTGAATTTGGCTTTAGGCAATTCCACTCTGTTAGTATCAAAAATGCTTTCACCAAACTTGCACTCTGTTTCAATAGCGGTGGTAGATATTAGAGTCGAAGCTAAAGCTTTTTCATGCAAATGGGAAGGCACAACAAAAGTTTCGCCACCATGAACATTTTCCTCCTGTAGTATCTTATCGATGCTGCTTCTGGAAGCATCACGAAGCGAATCCTGACACTCATCAGAGGTGTCACAGCAATCCTTTGACTGCCCATCTCCATCAGATTTACCATATTCACGAGATATCAGCTCATGATGGGTAAAATATGTGCCTAGTTGAAAATGGTAATGAACCTCATGACTATTCCTTTCCCCACAAGATGATTCCTCCTTCTGCTTCAATGCTTCCCCAGAGTTCATTAACCTTGTATTTTCACCTGCATGATTACAAAATAATTCTCAACCACAACAATGTAATAGCTTATTAAAAGAGAACCTCTTCTTTTATTAAAAAACCTTGCAATGATAAACTGGCACAAGCAGATCAATAAGCATACATTAAAAGATGGTAGTTACATGATAGGGGATCAAGGGACTAACCTTGATGATTTTCATCTTTATTCTTGGAAGTAGCCTGTACGTCTACTGACATACAATCATCAACTATTCCTGTTATGCAAACAGCAAGGCATATTTCTAAGCAAAGCCAAGATGCAAAACATCCATCTAAAATAACTCTCAAATGAAAAGGAGAATGAGGAAAAACAGATACAGACAAACACGTATCTGTTCACATTCAAAAATAGAAAGGAGATTGCAATGATTTTCAAGTGCAATATAATTAATCTTTTCCAGGTTAATTGCCACAGTCCACTGTAACTTTCAGGTAGACCTTCTGTGGCAGCCTCACATCCAGATTCTAAATTTTCTGTGTTCCAGTTCTGCCACTGATTCTATTTGATTATTTAACACATCAATTACCCCATTCTTCAAACTTCCATCAAGGGTTATGTTGCATCTTTAGAAATCGTCATGCTCGGTAGTTGGAGACATTTTTATCCTGTATGATTCTTTCATGTGAACACTTTTTTCTTTCCTTTCCACTTCACTGATAGCTCCATTTTCTGAGTTACATTAAAGAATCTTAGATGGGTGAGTTTCATTCAATGCTACAGTCCTCCATGTGGTTCTCTTTCGAGAAACATCATGTCATATTCTTTATAAAACTTGAACTTGAAGCTGAGTAATCCACAAAAAAAAAAGGCTAACAAAAAAAAAAAAGTTCTGACCTTGATTTTGTGCATTATCATCTGCCAAAATAGAGTTCTCATTTTTAGTGTTAGCACTGGCAGCTGCACAAGAGGCAAAAGTGCTAGTTATAAAAAAAAATAACCATGCTAACAAACTAAGGAATGCCAGCAAAACAACAAATGCTACATACATCGATGTCTTAAAATGGAACTGGAATTTGCAATAGTAGCGGTCACTGAATGATGTTTACTTGCACTTAGCTTTATTTCTGTATGTTTTCCTCCATTGGTAATTGGGGTACCTTCACCATGTAAGGATAAAATTACCCCTTGTGCATCAGATATGACAACAGACTCTTCATCATTAGTGGCGCCTTGCTCTGGTAAAACGCACAACTTATTTCGGGCAACTGATTCCAACTCATTAGACCGACAACTGTCATGGATGGCATCAGCTTTATGTTTTAAATGTCCAACCTCTTCATAGTCACTCAATTCTACAAGATTATCTCCATCTTCAATTAACTTAGCCTCAACGCCCCTCCCTTGTTCAATTGGTGATTGTGCCCTTGGCTCTAATTGTGTCTCCAAATCCGCTGCATCTAGCGATTCCCCTGCAACGTTGCAGTTGAGGCCATCTGTAACAAAGATTAAACCAACAAACTATCAGCTATCAGATCCACCATTTTAGTTCCTGTATAATTTGAGCATGACTCATCCATTCTGGCAATATCTGCTTTCAAATATCTGGAACTAGATTGAATAAAATGCCAGGAGGTCTCTGACCTTGAATACGAAGCCGGGGTCTTCTTATACCAGAGTTTTATGAAGTCTAAACAAAATATGTTTCCCTATGCCTGATTAACAAAGTATCATAGAATAAGGAGACCTATAATTGCTTACCTTGCAACTCCAAAATATTGGATTTGTGAAGCTCCACTCTTATAGAATCAAAGTTGCTTTGGGTAAACTCTATCAATGATTCAACAGCATTGGCTGATATTGGAGTGACCGCTGAAACAATTCGATGCATTTCAAGAGGCTGATGAGTATCTTCACCACTATCAACATTTCCATCCTGCACCTCTCTTGTTGTACTTAACCTCAATGCATCAGATGAACTAGGATGCCAATATTCCTCCAAAGTGCCACGCTTGAAATTTGAATGGCCATCTTCCACAGATTTAACATACACAAAAAATTTCTTCATTACATAAATGGTGTTCAGAAGTTCTTAGGTAGGGCATCTAGTTCAGAATAGTACATTACAAAAGGAACACCTTATGTTGATAGTTTCTTGACAACATGGACCAAAGTACTAACCTTGCTCATTTTGAACAGCATTATCCAAAGGATTGACAGCAGTATCCAAGGTACAACAATTGAGTGTATCTATGGTTGCAACTGCATGTAAAAAGCCAGTAACTGGATGAAGAAGCATAATATCCCATGGGGAAAATTTCCCTTCAGAAGTGGATACTAAGGAAACACAATCATAACCGTCAATGTCATTTTCTCACCTTTACAAACAGCAACGGGAAGGGACTTTTCATGATCTCCAAAATAACTCTCTTCCAAGTTGAGCTGCCCACTTTCGTGTGCAATGCTTTCATGCATCTGTTGTTCTTTGCAGTGCTCACAAACAGAGGTGGAATATGTTTCTGGAATTATGCTCTCTGACATTCCTACAAGTTCATTAACATCATGAATGACACCATTCAAACTGACATCCGAGCATATACGTTGCCCTGTCAATCTGTTATTTTTATCTATCTGTGCTGTTTTACTCATATATAATACTTCCTCAGAGTCATTTCCCCATTTGCTACTCTCGTCAGTACATGTTTCACCTCCTGCATGCCAGAAACAGAATCACATAAGTATTACTTTTGTTCATGATTAGACTACATGATATGTTAGTCTATATGAGCAGAGCAGCTTTTTCTTTAGGTTGTTACCCTATAGGACTTTGCTTATGTTAGATTAGTTGTCAACAGATAAACTATATGCAGCCTGACCTTGCTTTTGTACATCATTATCATCTGACAGAGGGTGCACACTTTTGCCATTAGTGCCAGGAACTGCTTCAGATTTCCCATGAAAAACTGCTTGTTATTTCATTGAGTTGAAGTATTCAAATTCAACATTCTAAACAAATGAAGCAAAAGATTATTACTGTCTAACCTTTCTTTTCTACCCTGTTATCTGTAAAAGGAGAATCAGCATTAACAAATGTACCAGAAACTGAACCTGAGTCTGGACAGAAGAAATTCTGTTAAAAAGCTTCAACAGACAAAACCAATAGTTACAAATAAAAGAGTACAAATAAAGGAAAATAAACAATTCCCCTACCCTGGTCCTCTCCAATGAAGTTTGGCTCAGAAGTATCTGCACCATTTAAATCAGAAACATATCCTGTCAAATCTACTACAACATTAAAATTATCGATTACAGTATCTTTCGCAATTTCAGGGATCATAAGCTCAGCTTCAGGAGCCGAAAGATCCTCAGTTATCAAGATTTTTTCAGTGAAAGAATCTTCAAACTTTCCTCTTGTTTTCTTTGATTTGCCCTTCTGTTTTTGAGCAACTTTTCCTCTTACAGTTGTTGCTGCAACTCTCTCAATTTTTTCAGTATTTCGTGTAGATCGTCTAAGAGGCCTTTCAACGGAGTTACCATCAACCTTAACAGCTTGTTCTTGAAGAAAAGCATCCCTTCTTCGCTTTTTACTTTCTTCTTTACCTTTAGCATTGGCCACTTTGTCAGTTTGCTCCCTAGTGTATATAACTTCAGGTTTAGCAGCATTCCTTTTAGACCTCCTTAGATTCTCGTCAAATGGATAACTTTCCTTCATCATTCCAGAAACACTGTCAACCTCAGAAACTTCCTTTACCTCAACAGCTACAATGCTTCTCAATCTTCTTTGTACAGCCTTTTCAATTTTTCTCACATCCTCCTTTACCAGTTTGTGGCATTCCATCTTGGCAACATGTCTCCTTGACCTCCGCAACACCTTTTCAGCTTGAATGGCCTCAGGTTCTTCCTCGGTTGCTTTAGTTCTAACAATATCCTTCCTACGCATGTCCTTCACCTGTCTTTCTGGTTTCCTAGAACCCTTCTCCACATCCTCATATGCCCTCATTTCGTTATCTTTTAGCTCTATATTCCTCAAAGATCTCTTTCTCACCAGTAAGTCCTCTTCATTCTGCTGAGACCCCTTCTCCACTAGGGCAATTTTCTTCTTCTCCACATCGACGACTCTATTCCTCAAACATCTCTTCCCTACCACTACATGCTCTTCGTTACTAAAATCAACTAAAGGTGCATTATCAGCAGCAGCAGAAGGCAATTCACCCTTCAAAGCATCAGCTTTCATCCCCTTTTTACCTCCCTTGCTCTCAACCTCGCAATCCTCCATGAATTTAACCTTTCTAGACCTTGTAACCCTTCCAGCACCTTCATCCATCGGAGCATCGCTACTCATACCTACAACACCACTGGCAGACGGTAATTTATCCTTCAAAACATTATCTTCTACCCCCATTTTCCCTCCCTTTCTCTTTACATAGCTGCCTTCTATCACTTTCCCCCTTCTAGATCTTCTGCCCCTTCCAACTCCCTCATCCACCAAAATAACAGGACTATCATTTTCCACAACCTCACCACCCTTACTGTGATTCATAGCAGATTTTCGCCTTCCTCGACCCCTTGTCTCCATACACTTAACTGCTGACTTCTCAAACTCAATCATCTCATTTTGTGGACTAAACCTAACTTTTTTGGCTGGCCTATTTTCAAAATCAGATTCATTTTCGCTCACATTTTCTTCTAAACCCTTCAAACACGACCTTCGCCCTCGAGTTAAGGGCTGTTGATTGCCCTGCGCATATATATATTTGATTAATTTCCGAAGTCAAAAACAATGAACCAACACCATTTCCCACAAAAAAAAATAAAAAGCTAAACCATTTCCTACTCAATGGGTACATTTCTTTTTCAACAATCAGTTAAATCTTTTGCACTGCACATCACCAGACAGACATTTCAGACAACAAAAAGATAAACTTTTTCCTACTATTATGCCAAAAAAAAAATGAAAATGAAAAGGGTTACCCTTAAAAGGGCAGTAAGTTTGGTGGCCATCTCCAAATTGGTTAAATTTGCAGGAATTTTGTGCTTCTTGCATAATTCTTGCAGTTCCCTTCTTTTCAAGTTGTGAAAATCCATCCCTGCAAGACCACGCAACAAGAAAAACCAGTAATCAACGATAAAATATTTGCAAGAAAATCACAAATGACATTTTCAGTAAGCTATACCTGACAAAACTTCACATCCAGTTCTCGGGTTACGGATAAAAATACATACTTTCTTGATGCAGGAAGAAAATTGAATAGTTTTTTGGGTGTTTGTAGTTTAAATAGGCAGGGGAACGTTTGAAATTTGAACCAAACGGGCAGCGTTCGCTTTTTAAATTTTTCATGGGAAGTTTTTTTAACTTCGCGGATGCGGAAACGTGCGTACTCGGCACTCTCAAGCCCGATGTTGACACATTTCCCAAAGACTCGCAGATGGGTCGAGTGAAGTTGAACCCTGAAACGGCGCGTGGGTTTGGAGAAGTGAAATTGGATAATAAAGATAATGTTATCATACATGAAGAATGTGAGATCAAGCTGATGGAGGCAGAGCAAATGCTTTTTGACATTAGTAGCCATAAAAATTCACACTAAACTACCTGACAACAATTGGTACTGCACATTTTTACAACCTCTGCCGAAAGATTTAACAATAGCTTCTACCCATCACATGTCGATAAACCTGGTCTACATAGTGAAGCTAAAACCAGGCCTACATTGCACAGCAACTCAATAGACCATCACCAGTCTCTTACTGGAAGAACGAGAGTAATATATGCAAAACATCTTTCAAGGTTTAACAGATGGTTCAAATAACTAAGATACATATAAAAGAATGGCATTGTAGCAAGCGGAAGGTATGCAGAAAAATAAGCCTCATAAGATCTACCCAAATTGTAGCATTACACCTACAGCATATTAGACGATTCATGAGCATTCATCGCACAGATTTTCCTGAAAAGCAAAGTCTGCGGAAATTGACACGAAAATCATACTTGTAGACCTATATATTAGCAATAATTATTTTTTCTTCTGTCTTCAATGGTGTCCAATGATAAGGTGTCCAATGATAAGGGTGAGGCAGTTAATTAACATCCAGCCCAGTGAAGATTCAAGCCTGCAAAATCATTTCTTGAATACAAATTTACTTCAGAAATCTTGAAACAATAGTCAAAACATCCAATCGCAGTAAAAAAAAAAAAACACGAGCACACACAGAGAGACCCACAAAAATGAGAAAATAGTGCAAAAAAATACAAAAACGAGTCAGAAATCTCGTGTGGAAAGTGCCGCTCACTGCACCACAAGCAATATGGTGCTGCGTTTGCACATTTTAGAGATTATCATCATCCATTTCCTTTGCATATCTTAATTTTTCAACAACCAGAAAAAAAAGGAATTTGTCCCAAATAAGTATTGCCCATTTTTTGCCATATACTGAGGGAAACCAAAGATTAATTACTAAATCAGAGCAGGTTATAGGAGAAATCAAGAGGATCTGCAAGAGGGTTTCGCAGGATATCCTTTGAGAGGAAAAGGGTTCTCTTCATTCGGATCGCGGGAGGGGTTTAATAGGAGAAGATCTTCATCAGAGTTGTGGCGTGGCGGCTATAGAGGCAATGTGATCAGAGGAAAACGTATAAACCCTTCTTTTCAATTTGGATAAATTGCAGTTACCCCCTCTAAATTTTGACTAATTGGAGATACTTCCTGTATTTTTATGTGGTGTTTTATCATGTTTTACTTTGAGCCTTCTTGTGATTGATTGATCCTGTATATCCTTCCATTACAAAAGAAATTGCAAAAGATCTACTAGTTTTATGAAGTAATTGGTGCTTGATGATGCCTTTAGTTTTTTTTTATGGTATTTTTGTTGGGATTAGTGGCGTAATCTTGGTTTGTCAAATTCATTAAAAACTCTGACGTAACATCTAAACTTGTTAGTAATAAAAAAAATGAAGCTATTGCCAGAAAAATTTAAGTACTAATATAATGGAATGTCAAGAAAGAAGGTTGGTGCAAAATATCAATGTAATTCAACCAAATTGCTATTCCTCTTTTTCGGATAATCCCAATTACCAGAACCAGCAGGAAATGCAGGACAAACATAAGATTTTCCCCATGTCTCCCCATATGGTGTTGATACAAGTTATAAAATGCACAAGTACTCAGGAATATAACAGTTCACTTAGTGTAACAAGGGACAGGCTCTTGGAAGCTGATTTTTTTCTTGATATGTGTCCAGAAACTTGTTGCATCGTCGGCCGAAACTGGGGACTTGTATGAACACATGCAATTGCTAGTTTTGCAGCTAGTACCACATCTTCAGCCTCTTGTAGGGTAGGTGGAGGAATTCTTTTGTCCAAGACGTCTTTCAGCATTATGTCAAGAGATTTTGGCTTTGGCATTGATGATGGTGTTGATAGTAAAATGGAAATTAGGTCGCTTGGATGCTTCCCCACAATCACTTCAAGGGCTAGAACTCCAAAACTATATACATCACATTTCTCAGTGACTTCCATTGTGTAAGCAAGTTCTACAAATTACCAAGGAAAAGCGGAAAAAAAAAAAGACATTAAATAAAGAGGAGAAAGATAAACAAACTTAAACGATATGCTAAATGGGTGCAAATCAAATCGACTTTGGGCTGAAAATAAATATATACAACTTAGCTACGTTATACATTCATGTTAAGAGCGCCGACTGATTTTTCGATGTCTCCTATGCCAAATCTATACAAATTGCATTAACTTTTGAGTTGTGAACTTATCTTTTTGTTGCCTATTAATTGTGTAGGTTACCAATAATTCTTCAATAGTTTTAGCTAAGGTGTGGACTGATGAAGAGTATAGTTTTAGCTAAGGTGTGGACTGATGAAGAGTAAGCTTATAGAAAGAATAATGAAATGGCCAACTTGATTATCAAGCACTATTGTGGACTCAGAACCTTGTCAGAAAGTTTGGATCGAAATTAATAGTCATGAACTGTTGTAGCACTTCTTTAGGGTTCAATCCAGAGAGAAATAAAAAACTGATAAGTTTGAGGTGATTGAGCAGTACAATGAACTTACCTGGAGCTGCATAACCATAGGTTCCAGCAAATGTTGTCCAATTAGATGAGTGAGGTTTCAAGAACCTTGCACAGCCAAAATCAGAGATGTGAGCCACGTTTTCAGAGTCTAACAACACATTCTTGCTTGATATGTCTCGATGGATTATGGGAGGTGAGCGGTCATGATGCATATAGAACAGTGCATTTGCTACATCTGTAAGAATTCTAATCCTTGTGATCCATTTCAAATTCATAGCCTTTTCATCGTTACTGAGTCTGTCTAATAGGCTTCCTCCTTCCAAGAATTCGTACACCAAGAATGAATGCAGTGCATGTGAACAGAATCCATAAAGCTTCACAATATTGCGATGCCTTATTTCCGTTAATGCAAGTATTTCATTCCTAAAACCTTCTGGACTGCTCAATCCAATATTTTCTTGTGTATGGAGCTTTTTCACGGCAACAATTTGACCATTTGGCATTTCAGCCCCGAAAACACTTGCATTTCCTCCTACTCCAATACAGTAGTGGGCACTGAAGTCCTCTGTTGCTTTGACGATGTCTTTATACACCATCTTTCCATCAAAGCTCCATATTGCAAACGGATCTTTATTTCGGTCACAGCCGGACTCAGTTCTTGCTTTACTGCTCTTACGTGTTAGTGCAACAAAAAGAAGCAAAACACAGAAAAGCATGGTTCCCAGCGTCGGAAATACAATCAACATTGTCTTTGCTTTGCTGCTGCTTTTGTTGACCTGATTACTTCCTGATCGAGGGCAAGCTTTCAAGCCAGCAACATCGCCACACAAATCTTTGTTATTCCTCAAGGCATCAAATGGGGCTTTCCGAAATGCTGCAATGTTGGGAAGAGGACCCTCCAATTGGTTGTACGATATATTAACCAAAACCAAGCTCAAACATTGGCTAAAGCTTGAAGGTACCGAACCTGACAGCTCATTATGTGAGAAATTCATTATCTGAAAGCTCTTTAGTTCTCCCAACTGCTGTGGTAGCTCACCAATCAGCATGTTGTGGCTGAGATCGAGAGTTTCCAGAGAATTCATTTCTCCAATCTGGAAAGGAATTTTTCCATTAAGTGCATTTTGGCTCAGGTTCGAGTCCAATAGCTCTTTGCACTCTCCTATTTCTGGGGGAATTGGACCACTAAGGTTATTCTCGGCCAAATTAAGATGTAGAAGTTTAGACAACTTGCCAATTGTTGATGGAATATCCCCTGAAAGTTTGTTGTTATTCAACCTTAGGTCCAACAGTGAAATGAACTTGACAAAAATTTGGGGTATTCTCCCAGTTAATCGATTTGAGGAGAGATCTAGCACTTCCAATTGAGATGCCCCTCCTATCTCATCTGGTATCTTCCCTGAAAGATTGTTGTTGGAGGCCTTGAAGCCAGTCAAGTTCCGACAATGACCCCATGTTACAGACAGTTCCCCATAGAAACTATTATCACTCAAGTCAATGTAATTTAAATTCGAATACATGCCAAAATTTTGTGATATGTTTTCAGAAAATTCGTTGCTTCTAAGATCAATTCTGTATAACCTAGTACAATTTTTCAGGCTACTCAGGATTTTGCCTGTAAACTTATTGTCGTAAAGGCTCAAGTATTCCAATCGTCCCAAATTGCCAATGGAGCTGGGAATATTACCCTCTAGATTGTTAGCACCTAATTCAAGATCAAGCATGGAGTGTAGCTTGCCAATTTCTTCAGGTATGAGTCCTGATAATTGGTTTACACGAAGAATTAGGTCAATTAAGTTGCTCAAATTCCCTATAGATGCTGGGATTTGACCAGTTAGATGGTTGTCGGCCAACTCAAGATCCCAAAGAGACCTTACCATGCCAACTTCACCAGGGATTGGACCAGATAATTGATTGCTGTAGAGATACAAATACTGGAGATTTGTCAGGTTTGAAAAAATGGTGGAAGGAATACATCCTGAAAGCCCATTATTAGGCAGGGCAAGAAAGTGGAGATGAGTGAGGTTTCCAATGAAGCTGGGAATGATTCCTGTGATATAGTTGAATCCCAAGTCAAATGTAACAAGCTTCCTTAGTAATCCAATTTGTTGGGGAATCGAACCTGTGATGTTATTATGGTCCAGGCTGAAATCCCAAACATTTGTTAGTAATCCTATTTCTGGTGGAATCGGTCCTAAAAGGAAGTTGAGAGCCAGATCAAGATAGTAGAG